CACCACCAATTATAATAGGCCGGTGCAACTTTGTCAAAATGGCCACCAAAGTCAACAAAAATGGCCACTCAAAGTCTACGAAAATGGCTAACTCCTAATTGCATTTTGCTTTTCATTTATTGCCTCAATTGGGTTTTGCCTATAAATAGCCATGTTCCCTCCGTCGTATGCATAAGTTTTATCAGTTAATCAATTTTCAATTCTCCTCTGTTTTGAGTGAATTTCTTGGGAGTGGATTCTCTCAGTTTATCTCTACATCTTAGGTCTTGTCAGCCTAAGTAGTGTTCTTGACAATCGAATTCATCGTAGTGGAATTTTAAATCTCTCTCTAAAATCGATGTTTCGGTATCGGTTCCTGCGTCATTTGTTATCAGAGCCAATATATTTGAAGTCTGCATGTCATTCTGAGCGTTTTGGTGAAAACCCAGTCGCTAGAAAGTGTCACACGCGCCTCCACACTCTACGGCCGTTTTCTCATGCGTCGCCCACTCGCACCACTGCAACTTGCGTGAAATTCACACGCCGATCTTCTTCAACCTCCACACGGCCTCTTCATCATGCCACCTCATCACCATGTCATCGCCACGTCAGTGCCACCTCATCGCAACGTCACTACCACATCATCTATTTGCCACGTCATATGTACCACATCACTTGACACATCACCAAACACATCACCTGCCACCTAAGTGACACATCATCACCACACCTGTTGCCACGTCATCAAGTTCCTCAACTTGCTTTGACCTTACATATTGACCCCCATATTTTTATAAATTTTAAATCACCCCCACCTCCCAAAACTAACTTTCCAAAAGGCCCCTTGCCAATTTAATCTCAACATGCCTCCTACAAGATCAAACTTCCAGATCGTGGGGATTGATCTCAAACCTGAGGATGAGTTTTCTCCAACAAAGGGAGAATGCACCAGGAAAAATGCAGGAAGTATGCAGAAGCTACTCTGCAACACCACCAACTATAATAGGCCGGTGCAACTTTGTCAAAATGGCCACCAAAGTCAGCAAAAATGGCCACCCAAAGTCTATGAAAATGGCTAACTCCCAACTGCATTTTGCTTTTCATTTACTACCTTAGTTGGGTTTTGCCTGTAAATAGCCATGTTCCCTTTGTCGTATGCATAAGTTTTATCAGTTAATCAAGTTTCAATTCTCCTCTGTTTTTAGTGGGTTTCTTGGAAGTGGATTCTCTCAGTTTATCTCTGTATCTTAGGTCTTGCTAAACTAAGTGGTGTTCCTGGCAATCAAATTCATCGTAGTGAAATTTTAAATCTCGTCAAAATCAGTGTTTTGGTATCGGCTCCTGAGCCAAAAGGATAGGACCAAAGAAGTAATTAATGCACTGCCAATGAAAGGAGACGAGCTTCTGCAGCTACTCAAGCTGAAAACAGAGGATAGCCAACACCTTGCACAAATCAAGACGCATATCCATCTACCCAAACAGCTATAAAGCTACAACACTGATTCTTGTTCCACCAAAACAATGTAGCAGACAAAGGGGAAAAGGAACCAGAGACATTACTTCTGTTATCAAAGCACGTCGGTGTTTTCAATTCAATCCGTTGTTGTTAGACATCACAAAATTGTACCTAATTCAAAATTTTGACTTAATTTATTCATTATGAGAGGAGAATTCGAATCAGCACTTGAGGCTGGGAAACACCTTTCTTAAGGCTTATAACTCATTGGGCCATTGGCCTTCTAGACCGAGGCGGGTTTCGTTTGTTGTTAAATCAGCCCAAATTGGAACATGGATCGAAAGCATTCAAATCAATGGGCCAAAATC